AAAAAAAAAAGAAAAAAAAAGAATAGAAAGAAAAGAAAAAAAAAAGTAAAGAATGTAATAACTCTAATGTAACTCTATAAACTTTAGCGGACATGTAATCGAAATACAATGAAAGATAATAGAAAAAACGGTAGATGAACGCTATATATCATAAAACTTACTATATAAAACTTATTATTATTAAATGCAATCAGCCTGCTTGTACGTTTCATAGACGCATGCCATCAAATTACTTTCTTTCAATACTGCTCCTTTTTTCTCGCTAAAACCTAATATTAAACGATCGCTTTTTGCACGGCTTTCACCTTCAATTCTAAGAGTTCTACTCTTGAGATTTTCTTACTTTGTTCGAGTCGGTAGTCGAGGGACATTTCATATAAAAGCGTTTAAAAAGCGTTCGTTTAATTTGATGTAACGTGGGTCGGTATCTTCTTGAATCCACTAGCTTTCAAAGGTTCTAAAGGTATTTTTCGCATTTTCATGATTTCTCGTTAAACGCGTGGAGGACGAGCACGTGCAACGAGCACGAAGGAATGAGAATTAATATATCGTGTAGGAAAATTGCTACAATTGGAAATTGTGAAAATGAAAGCTAGCGAACCCATGGCCGTTGGATTTGGATAACAAATGATGCTTGATCTTTGCCCAAAGTGTACAAATAATCTGAAGGAAAGCATAATAACTTATTAAATGCTACAGACGACATTCAGAACAACGGCAATCAAAAAGGTAAAAATTCCTTCGCCGAGGTTTTCTATACACGAAATAAATATTCATCAGGCATGCAGTGTGTACACGAAAGAAAAGTTTGAGAATCGGAAAGTTTCGTCGATCGGTTCTTTGCTCATTTACAGTAAATTCACAACAATATCGTTTTTGTTTTGATAACATACGAATAAATATCGAGATTGCCTTGGGGGAACAAACATTTATTCTCTCTCTAAAAATTTACGAGACATTAATCCTCGCCAAATTGAAAATTCAATGTAACAATATGTAACAATTTAATGAACATTTTCATTTACTGTAAAA